CTTATCTCCCGGCTAATAATAGCGACCTCGGTCCCCCCGCGCGGCCGCTCAGTCGCCGGCCGCGGCTGGTCACGCAGGTTCTTCTACCCGCCGTCTCGTTAGAGTCTCCAAAACCATAGACTTCTCATAATGTGATGACAAGGTTTGCTCACAGTTATTAGCCCCTTCTGCTCTACGGTTTGGGCTCCCTACGTGTGAGTGCTACATTTACTGTAAGCAAGTTTTCTGTGCAGCCCTCTGTATCTCACCATTTTTAATATCACACGAGAAAATACTGACAAAGTATAACTCCTTGCCAGAGAACCGTCTTGCATCTGAACATCTGATTGTCAGTTTTCCAGCAGTTTCTGATGTTAACTTCAATTGAAATTTTGCCTTCCTACACACAGAGCTTTTTTTTTTCTTGGTATGGCCTGTTAATTGCTAACAAATGGATCACATTCTGAATTCACTTTACACCGTTATTAAATCAGCGCAGTGCCACTGGTGGCAGTGGAATTACTGCTGGTGTAAATCACTTGTGGTTACTGTTCATCCCAATGTACCCCGGAAATGAGCATCAGCATCCCAGTTTTTACCGAGGGTATGTTTTAAAATCCTATATTAAAGTTTGTATCCTTTCTAAAACTAGAATTCATTAGAGCTCTTGCAGTACAGTATTGTGTTCCTAAACCTTGTTGTCAAGGCAAGAAACATGCTTGAGAAAATATAAATAGACATTCGCTTTAGTAATGCAAATCTTGCAGTCCTATTTTGGGCAGGGAAAAATCCCTATGTCGTTTTTTTTTTTAAAGAAGTGTGATGGTCTAGATTTAAGACTGGCTTATTAGGGGTTTGCTCAGCCTGTGTGTTACAGTAGTGATTCTCCCCTGCCATTTGAATATATCTGTTTCTGATTGATGTAACCTTTACATGCTATAAATCCTTGCAAATTAGCTTTGGGTATGACCTCCCCTACTAACTCACTCTGTCATATTTACTCGAGTATTTTTTGCAGATAAGTCCCCTCTCTTCTGTCTTTTAAGACTCTGCTGGGAAAAATAATATACTAAAGAGACAAAAAACAACTTGAAGACATTCCATTATTCTTTGTCGGAATTGTCATATTTGATAGGTCCAGCAGAATTTGCCTCTTACCAACGTGTCTAATTTGGTTTTGAACTCATTTATACTTTGTGGTGCTGAATTCCACAGTTTCAGTTTTGCATTGTACGAAAAAGCATTTCCTTCTGCTTGTTTTAAATCTACCGCTTTCCAGCGCGTTTGATTCCGACTTTTCTCCCTAGAACAGGGCGTAAGAGATGTGGGAAGAGTATGTAGAGGTGAGGTGAGGGAAATGAAGTCTTAGTATCAAAGTCTTAGTATCCAGATTGTATCTGGAATACCCCGCTTTGCTTCCTTTTTTTTCCCCCTTCCATAGTTACTTTTTGCTTAGAAACCCTCTATCTCAGTGCCCTGAAGTGGTGCTCTAGTAACTGTGCAATGCTCTCTTTCTGTTAGTCGGAGAACACCTGCTGACGGGGCACAAAGTAGCAGTAAAAATTCTAAACAGACAGAAAATACGCAGCCTGGACGTGGTTGGGAAAATCAAACGAGAAATTCAAAACCTAAAACTCTTCCGGCACCCCCATATTATCAAACTGTAAGTACCCTTTCTTCCATGTGCTCGTGCTACTCCTCCATCCCGCAGAGGCTTTACCTGCACAGTTGACCCGCTTACAGGAGGTGACTTACAGTCGTACAAGATGTTAGGCCCGCGGTCAGTTTTTTGCAAATTAGAGCCAAATGTTGCTTTTCTAGAGTCCTTCCAGTAGCTTATCCAGGGACACAATCAACGCCTTCAGAAATGGTGGGAGATGCTTCTTTCATTGGGAGTTTGGGATATTAGGAGGATAACAGCCAACAGACCCAGCCCGTGCACCACTTTCTGCTCCGTTAAGCCTGTCCAAACCGTCCTCTCTTCCAGGCAGAGTCCCCTACAAAGATGCGTAGTGATGGTCTGGGCCTTACTGCGTCAAGATGCTATTAACTAACTGCTGCACAAACCAGTTGGCCTTTTTGTAATCGTCCTTGTTTGGCTTGATATCTGCGGAGGTGAAGCCACCGAGAATTTTGCCTGAGGAATTACAGCACGGTTAGGCTCCTAGAGTGGAGCCTTGGCCTTAAGTCAATAGGATTTCTGTTTTAATGGCCTGATTATCCAGAGCTTAAAGGAACAATTTTGTTTATTATTCAGACATAAGTTTTCAAAATTGCCACTCTGATGAACCTGAATTTAAGTTGTAAATCAGCACCTGCACTCCAGCCGCTGGGATTCCTTCTCAATCCCCAGTTTGTGCAGCCAGTCCACATTAATGAGGCACGCGATAATATCTTTGGCATTTCTATAAAAGAAAGCTGTTGAATGGTAACTGGAAGGATAAGTTGACATTTAGGTCAGCCTTAAAACTGGCATGAGATATAGCAAATACCTGGGCCTTAGAGGCAAGGGAAAACAAATTCTCCCTACAGTTAAATAACTAACTATAGAGCAACTGTTGACTTTAGAGTAACTTCACAGCTCCGTGGATTTATTTGAGAACAGATTGGCATTATTTCATGAATACGCCAGCGAGAGTTCTCAGCTGGGCATCCAGCATCCCACAAGCTAAGTCCTGTTCACACATTTGTCAAACAAACTATTAAAGCCTAAATATTAAACCCAGTTGAAGAATACCAGTATGACTACACTAAATAGTACAATCCTGAAATAGTGTGTTAAAGAAAAGAGGTAAGTAGAGACTATAGAACATATGCCTCCTATTTCAGTCACTTGTGGCATCTCTCCCTCGCTTTGTGTATATGTGCGTGTGTGTGTGTGTGTGTGTGTGTGTATGTATAAACTGTTACTGCTATTAAGAATAATTTGCATGTCTGCGTCCAAAGCTCTTTAGAAAAATTAAATTGAGCTTTACTGAACTTTATGGGACTTTATCACCTGTTCACTTGCTAATCTCTTTAAATTTCTTACTCCACTTCAAATCTGCTCACTTCAAATTAAATAACACAACCAAATCAAATAACACAGCCCACAGAAATTTAGCCCTGAAAAGGCAAACACAGATGTGTCTAAAAGAAAAGCAAGTGGTGTCTCGGCTGGTGTTGCTGTGAAGTGGTATAGCTACATTGACCTCACTTGATCAACGGCAGCTTAGAGCTGCTGGGAAACTGAGGTACATTTGTAGGAATCATTCATTTGGGTGAAGGGGGAGAGAAAAATGGGTAAGGCAAGAGCGATACTCTTTTTCACATACCCGCGCCCCCATTCTAGATTTTAGAGGACTTTAATATTTGAAAAATAATTGTGGTCTTTTGGATGCTCGTCTTTGTTGCCATGAAGTATTTCAATACCTTTACAAAAGTAGCTCCCTCTAGTGTCTAGAGCTCTTTTCCCTCTTCTCAGTAGGGAGGGAAAATAAATATCCCCACCCTCGTTTTCGTGAAGCCTTCATTTCTAAAGACATTGCTGCAGATCTTATCCAAAATGGAAATTTGAAAGTCAGGCCAGTCCTAAATGCGATAGACTTTTCTGGCAGAGATTTCAGAGGATTATGTAAAAGCTCAAAGGAAAAAAGTAAGTCCATAAAAGAGATCCTTTCAGTAGACAAGTGAAAGATTATACTTACTCACCCCATGAAATAAGAGATGGCTTTTTCAGAAATGGGAAGCAATTATAAATGCAAGATTCAAACACATCCTTATTTTCAGAGTGGAAGTGAAACTAATAATCTGTTTACAAGCCTTTCCCTGTCCTTAGTGAATAATTATTTCTAAAGAGGCTTGTGTTTTTAAAGGTACCAAGTCATCAGCACTCCAACTGACTTCTTCATGGTGATGGAATATGTGTCTGGCGGTGAATTATTTGATTACATCTGTAAGCACGGCCGGGTAAGTGGCAGTACCACGTCAACCCAAACACCCGTGTGCGAAGAGGAGGAGGTTCAGAAGTAAAATGACTGCTAGAGGGGACGCGTTGAAGGATAAGGCCGAAAATAGAGCTTGCTTCATAGTAGTCCCATCTGGAGTGTCTCGTACGCAGCCTGCAGGAAAGTTGCGTGCGCTTTTTTTTTTCTTTCCGCAACGCCCTGGAATGTATTTTGATGTGCAAACAAAAAGATCCAAAGCATCGTGTTGCTTGGTAAAAATATTTGGAAAACTAGCATATTTTCGCAGTTCTTAGCTATGGAGCTAAGAGCGTTCCAGCGTGGTCTCTATCCTGGCACTTTGCCTCCCCCAGACTCAGGTTGACTGTCTAAAGACGTGGCTTATTTGAACTCATATTTTCAAATGCCACTATTGCCAATAGGCATAAATTACCTGAGGCGTGAAACGCTATTACGCTTATGAAGAAAATCATTAGTATCTGCCCTATGGGCATCCTCATAGGTAGGGAGCAATTGGAAAGCAAAGATAAAAATGGGCTAAAATGGGCACACAGCTTCAGTTGGAGGATCAGCCTGTCATACATTGCTTCTCTATATTGCAACAAAATCAATACATTTACTCTAAGCTGTTTTATGATAGTGCACTGGTAGAGGGAACTAACTCTATACTCTTTTACTGTTCTACATGCAGTTCTGATTTTCAGCACATTTGGCCCATATGGATCTTTAAAATGACTAATTTGGATCCCTTCTGAACTTTCAGATTCAGAAACTACATTTCTCACAAAGGGAATCTTTAGAAATTCCCCGGTGAAAATGATCAGTCTCATACTTTATGGGACCTAGTTTCTCTGAATATAGCATCGTTGCTATATCTCACCTTGAGCTTTTTCCAGAGCTACCTACTCCGTTAGCCTGTGATGAATTGCTCCCTGCAGCGCGCTGTGCGGCGTTTTGTCCAGCCTCGATGTGCCTATGCCGCAGAGCAGATCTCCAGCCCGTTCCCTTGAGAAAGCAGACCCTTGCCAAATAAGTCTGACCAACAAGTTCTCCTTGGTAGCCCGTCTAAATCTAGCTTCCTCACTTCATCTCGTTCCCCCCAGTTAGGGGCTATATCACTTGAAAACACCAGCGCGTTATAAAATGCAAGGGGGAAGCCTGCTTTATTTGCTGCGGGTTACAACGTGGTCAGGAACATACTGTAATTTCATCTGTGCGCCACATAGCGTTTTGGCTCCTTGCTAAGTCAAACCTTTCGTTGCCAGCTGCACATTCAGAGAAACCTTGAGGACCGTTTCCCCTTGCGTTCGCAGGTTGAAGAGGCAGAGGCGAGGCGCCTCTTCCAGCAGATCCTCTCCGCGGTGGATTACTGCCACAGGCACATGGTTGTCCACAGAGACCTGAAACCGGAGAACGTGTTGCTGGATGCGCACATGAATGCAAAGATAGCTGATTTTGGTATGTGACCTCGACAGCACGCCAGAAATGCAGCCAGCTACGAGCCACTTGTGGAGCGGGGCTGCCTAGAGCGCCTTACAAAACCCAGCCTCTGTTTTCATAACTGCTAGCAGTTTCTTCACCTGAAAAGCCCACAGTTATAAACACTGGCCCTTTAGCAAAATTCAGGGATTACTTATTGTAGGCTTCTCCTGTGCTTGCATTAATAATGGAGGAGCAAGGTAATTTGCAAATCTTCACTATGTTTTAGTATAATCACCTAATATAAAGACTTAGCTAATTTATGTTTCATACAGACTTAGCGCAGTTAATTCCAGGGTGAGACCTGGCTGCATGTGTTTATTTTCATGCAGGTTCTCCTTAAGTATGGCCATGTGCTCTTAGCCTCACTTTATTTTACGAACAAACAGTAGCAGGAGCCTTTAAGTGGCATTACTGATTGAAACGCAACTGAAAAAGCTGGTTACCAGCTCCGTCCCAGCGAGTCCTTTCTAGCAGCGACAGATCCTTTTGAAGATTTACGCATTTCAGAACGCCACGCAATTCCCATGGAAAGGATGTACTCTGAAGTGGAGTGCATCTTCTTTCCACTGTGCTAAAGAAAGAATACTCGGGGGTTTGCAACTCAGAGAAGCACAATGAGCCTGGAATGAATATTCCTCATTCTGAGGTGAAAAAATAATAGTTACTGTCATTAGCAAGCCGGCTCAAAGGAGTCTACCTATGTCAGCAGTTCCCTTCCCAGTTTCCCGACTCTGCTTGCCGTACCTGTCCTCCTCTGCGTGGCACAGAGTCCTCTCAGGCTGGACCTTCTTGTCAAACGTCAATATCTCAGCGTCTTGTTTTTAGGCTTGTCCAACATGATGTCAGATGGTGAATTTCTACGAACCAGCTGTGGTTCCCCAAACTACGCGGCCCCCGAAGTCATCTCTGGAAGGTAGGACATGCCACTTTTAGTCAAAGCATACGTGAGCTCATGGTCTTTTCATTTGTTCTTCTGACTGGAAACAGCTTTACCCATCTAGTAAAAGCAGCTGAATCCTTCCAGCCTATATTTTATGTTTGACTTAATCTGCTGGTAAAATCTTGAGGCTTTCTTGGTTGTTTTCTTTCTCAATAATAGTTATATTAGCAAAATGTAGTCTTGCTAAAGATATTTATTATGGAGGATTAATTAATAGCAGGTATTTATTGTTTATATAGCTAATTAAAGAGAGTTTAAAAAATACTTTTTGGACAAAACTACTGAGGTTTCAGATGGAAAGGCTTTTCCAGGCCACCCCCTTCTCTCCTGCCCAACTATAACATAAAATACAGTGTTAACAAGGGAAACCATTTACCCGTAGATCTATCAGTAAAATTTTTAATCACTTTCCTACATTCTTAAGCTTTTCTGCTTAAAAGTCCTTGTATTCTGGTTCCTTAAAGCTATTTTTTCTCCTGAGAATCAGGTCAACCATCATCGTTTTTGTTTTGACATGTTGAACTGAATTGACAAAACTCCATAGTAGCTGCATATCTCGACTACATACTGCCAGTATGTAGCATCTGTACAGCACACTGCATTTTGAATTCAACCTTAAGCAGTGTGTCCAACTTTGCCCCATTGATGTGGAAGTATTACCTCCTATATTTTATGGTCAGAAAACAAAGTTATGTAGAAATTGCTTATTTACCTAACTCTACATACTAGCAAACAAAGATTAGAAACACAGTTTTTCTAGCTTTCAGTCCTCTGTGTGGTATTTCGGACTGCTTGTCTCCTAATTATCTACCCTACGTTTTTGAATCATCCTTTGCATCACCATTAGTTTTCATAATCCAGCATATTTTGCCTATAACAGTAACTTGCAAATACAACATTTTGTTTAAAGGGTGTTAGCTGCAATCAGGATTATTTTATGCCTGCTCACACCAGCGCGAGCATTGGCAAAGCACCTAGGAATTAGACCATCATCCAAAACCCCTGTCGTGAATACAGCTCTACGTATAAGAGCACGTAAATCCTGACTGCGAAAAAGAGGACAAAGCCAGAAATTCTACCACAGCTCCAAAAAGCAGCCACGCTGCCCTCTCGCAGGGCTGTAGCCATATCAGATGACGTCTGTGGGGCGAGGGGAGGTTGTCAGGAACGATCTGCTAATTCTGCAGCGGGATAGACCTGTTGCCTGTGCATTTCTGTGGAAGGCCAGAGTAGGTGAGCTGGTTCAAGGTCTGTGCTGCCCTGGCTGGGTAGAGCATAAAGGTAGCAGAGCGTAAAAGCTCAGGTTTCAGGGTAATAAAAATGCATCTCATTTGGGCCTAAAAGTCAAATCAACTGTTCAAACAACATGGGTAGCAGCAAAACAATACGGCTTCCTATCTGGTAAAATCAGACATAGAGGCAGGACTAGAGGGACATCGAACTCTCTGTCCCCGTTTCCAAATGCCCTTTCTTTGCTGCTCTCAGTGGCCTCAGCGGGGATTTTCTCACGCTTGGAAGTAAAGCTGGATTTAGGTGATTTGGTAGTGTTCAGAGTGGGCTGGAGAACGACAGCCCACAGTACTGCTTTCTGCACTTTTTGTACGTCAGGTGCATTTGCAGCAGTCCTCTTCAGGAGCAGCAAGTGCAGGATAGTCAGGTTTAATGAAAAGACTTTTTTGTTTCCATTTCAATCTCCACATTTTGATATGATTTTAGAGCCCAAGGGCAGGCACTGCTTTCCCAAAATCTTGTCCAAAAGAAGCATCAGTTGTAGCAAAAAGATAAAAACAAGCAAATCAAGCAAGCAAGCGGGAGTAAAACCTGTATATGTGGGGTGTCCAGACTCGGAGATTCCAGGGAGCATGTTGGCAGCTTGTGAGAAGCAGGAACACTTGCATACCAGCACGCAAGCTTCAACCGAAAATAACCACTGGGAGATATAATATCTGCCTGCCATTTAACCTGCCTCGGCGAATGAACGGGAAACATTGGCTGAGTCCCTCAGCGCTTGAGGCAGAGGAACAAGCGGCCTTGCGGAGCTCGTGGAAACACGGGGCTGGGAGAGCCAGGCGCATAACCAGTCCTTAGGCCACGGCCCCCCAAAGGAGCATGGTCAGCCACCATCAGCTATGGAAGTTATTTACCCTAATCCTTAAGCATTTTCTTTGACTTAAGCAGGCTTGGGGGTATTCACATGAGGAAGGTGATGATGAAGGAGCAGCATGGGGGAGCTGGCAGAGGTACCGCTGAACGGCAGGGACATCTGCCCTGCAGGACTTGTCCTGCCAACCAAGAACATGAGGAACGGGAGGAAAACCGAAGGGTGATGGCTTTTCATTGCCTTGGCTTGGCGCAGGTTGTATGCCGGCCCAGAGGTGGACATCTGGAGCTGCGGCGTTATCCTCTACGCCCTCCTCTGTGGCACGCTACCCTTTGACGATGAGCACGTCCCCACCCTCTTCAAGAAGATCCGGGGTGGCGTGTTTTACATCCCTGAATACCTCAATCGCTCGGTCGCCACTCTCCTCATGCACATGCTGCAGGTCGACCCACTCAAACGAGCAACCATCAAGGACATCAGGTAATGCCACCTGGGGCAGGCAGGCTGCGCTTGGGTGGCCAGTGTCCTCTTCCAGACCTTGACCTGCTGGGGGCAGAGGACGCTCCCCACCCTGTGCGTCATCCACTGGCAGATGGGCAGCTTAGTTTCTGGGAATAGTCAGCTAATCCAACTGATTTTTGTCTTGAGTGATTTAAGGCGCGCTCCTGCAAACCGTCGTGCAGGCAGAGAGGTGGGATGTTGACTACTGGCAGTGGGGGATGAGAAATAGCCTGGAGTGATGACTTCTTCACAAGCACAGTTTGATGTGGAAGAAAACATTTGAGAGAGAAAACACACACACACACACACACACACACACACATATATATGAGGCTATTTTATTGCCTCAGAAATCTAATAGCACCTAGCCAAACCAGCTCTATCATGTAGTAATCCTAAGAACCTAAGACTCACCAGACATTTTTCATTACTTTATTTTGAGACCACCTCCCTCTGAGTACCAGTTCAGAACAAAAGGGTAATCATTTTCCTTCCTGGTCTGTCCAATAAAAAAGATGAAAGAGGAACACAGGAATCACTAAGTCCTAAAATATCCACATATAAGTCCACTTAGTCCTAAAATATCACATATAATTTAAAATGTTTCTTAAGGTGAACGAATGGGTCACCTTTAAATGCAGCATAGTTTTCTAGTCTAGTCAATGAATGCAATGGCCATGAACCTTTACCTGCGTACTTAACTTGGAAATTCAGAGCAAAGGGAACAATTAGATTCTGTAGCAGATATTTGTGCCTTCAGATATCATTAAAAGTGGCTGATAGTATGACTGTGAAATTTTCACAATCATCTGGTTACTTTTACAAATGTTTTGAAAAACTGGAACCTGGTATAAGTTTTATGAAATTTATAGTAATCATTACATCCAGCTGGTGTTCTAAGCACATACATACGTCTCTTACAGAGACTTTCAAGAGTCTGTGGCTTCTTAATGCATTTGCAAATGATGACTTTATGGTACCGCTTCAGGTAAAATCTAGATTGGGAGTGCCTACTTTATTTCTTGAGTCCTTAAGATGAGAGGATCTAACTGCATGATAGAGAAGCAGCACATGTGGCGAGGCTGCAGCTGATAGGCGGAATAGACAGACTTGGCCTTTTGTGCAGTTTAGCCACTTAATTGCCATTGACCGTATTGAAAATCAGTGGGAATTAGGCACCTGGATAGCTTCAAGGCTCTATATCTGTATTAGATCCATAGTGATCAAAAAGTACGAGCATCTGGTAAAGGCTGAGGTCTTCATTCAGAGCCAGGCAAAGAGGCAACCACACTCACAAAGGGCCATCACAGCTGTGATGTGTGGTTGTGAAGGTAGCTTACCTTCCCCATCCTAGGACACTGGGGTATAAACCAGAGCTAATGAAGGTGAGGTATGTGCAGCCACCCAATTTTTTGTTCACCCCCCCCCCCCATTTTGGCCACCTCCTTTGCACATAAATAAACGCTACTCTTTCAGGAACGTAGCCCTGGTTTTGGTTTCCAGTCCCTGCATGGCTTACCGCTGGCAGAAGGGGAAGGGAGTTTTGAATCTGCCTCCTGGACACCATGGAGGCAGAAACACCCTGCTGCTTTCGTGGCAAAGCACTTCAACCACCAAGACAAAGCTGCCCAGATCCTCCTAGGGAGAAGACCAGGGATTGCTGTTAGCAGTCACCCTAACCTGAATTGCGCAGTAAGCCCAGAGCTCACCATTGCTCCCCCTGTACTTGCTGTCCTGTGCATTTTCCCCCAGGGAACATGAGTGGTTTAAAGAAGAGCTACCCAGTTACCTCTTCCCAGAAGATCCTTCCTACGATGCCACTGTCATCGACGACGACGCGGTTCGGGAAGTCTGCGAGAAGTTTGAGTGCACCGAGTCAGAGGTGATGAACAGCTTGTACAGTGGTGACCCACAGGACCAGCTGGCAGTCGCCTACCACCTGATCATCGACAACCGGAGGATCATGAACCAAGCCAGTGAGTTCTACTTGGCCTCCAGCCCCCCCACTGGCTCCTTCATGGACGACATCCCACCTGGCGTGAAGCCGCACCCCGAGCGCATGCCGCCGCTCATAGCGGACAGCCCCAAAGCACGGTGTCCATTGGATGCTTTGAATACTACCAAGCCAAAACCCTTGACTGTCAAAAAGGCCAAATGGCACCTGGGAATCCGCAGCCAAAGCAAACCCTATGACATTATGGCTGAAGTGTATCGCGCAATGAAGCAGCTGGATTTTGAGTGGAAGGTAGGAAATACTCGTGCTTTGTGGCAGTTTTCACAGATTGTTTTCTAACAATCCAATCTGAGTCGATCAGTGAGGTTGTTGCAGTGAGTATGGGTACAGCCTCACCTATTTCTAAACAAGTATCCACACATGATGATCATTCTTGCTATTACTTATTTGTACAAGTACACTGCATTCAAATACTAGTTCTGGTTTAATAAACGTGGCATTTATTTCTGACATGAAATGTCAGAAATACTTTTCGAATACTTTTTCGAATATTCTAAGTCTGTGACTGGAAAGATAATTCTTACTTTTTTAGCTGCAGGGATAAGAGGAGCTGGTCACATTTCTAATTTTAGTGGCTAATTCCTCGCTAGGTCATCTTGGGCGCTCCTGAGAAAAGTAACTCTCTCATCATTTCTGCTTGGGTCATAGCAACCACGTGTCCTGAAATGGCGTGATATATTTTTCTTTATTCCTTCTTAAATGATGCATAGAATAGGAGGTGGAGTATTTTGAATGCAAAAGTTCTGTAACTGCATTGAAACTGTTTGTATAATTGGTGCGGTGGCATTTTTCTCATCAGAGGTGGAGGAATGCCCATGACGACTCATGCTTTCAGATGCTTACTGCTTCCTGTTTTAGGGCTGAACTTCTTGAAACTTGATTTAAACCCAGATGACATTTTTTGCTGGTAATACTTGGTTTAGATATTTCTTCAGAGCTACACGACATTTGGCCCTAATCTTTTTCAAGTTCAGATAAGTAAATCCTTGCCACAGAGTTAGACCTCATCGTTGCTGCTGGCCCTGCTTCCCTAGAACGGCGTAGTGGTTTACATGAGCTCGCCTGACTTTTACAGCAGCTTTGTATGAGCATCAATAGCAAGATAAGGAGAATTTAGGCCCAAACCTTTATCATCACGTAATACCGTAGCAGATATCCTCCTCATTCCAGGTGTGAAGGGTTCTGCAGGGTGAACGTCACTGTGCCGCTTTGGAAATGCCAAGTGCTGCGCATGGGTAGCATCGTTCCTGCAGGAGCACCAACGTTGCTTCCTTCGCCTGATCCGCTGTGAGCATCCCGCTCACGGGACGTGCAGGCCGTGGGTTCATAGCTGGATCCCAGCTGCCCAGAAAGCCCAGGCCAGGCTCAAAGGCTGCAGAAACCACCAGTTTTAATGTTTATCTAGAGGTATTAGGCGAAGTTTGAACTGTTCACTGCTGTCAAGGCTGGAAGGATTCCTGGATCCCTTTCTCTAGTCAGGAAAAACTGCAGCATTAGAGAGCTCGTCCCTGCCCTGGCACAGGCCTTTATGCTCAGGCCTCCACCTTGGAGGACAAGAGCAGCATTTAAAATCACCGCGGTTGTAATTTACCCTAGAGCAGAAATAGATTACTACCTTTTTTGCATAATTAACAGCAGTTTGCTAAAAATTGATTTGAAAATGCATCACTTCCCTCTAGAGAAGTAATGTCTCTCTTTAGCGAGCTATTTGCTGTCTTCTTGAAAGCTTGATATCTCCTCCTTATTTTGATAACACTGTTTTGTATTTAAAGCTAAGTAGCCCCCAGCAGCCCCGATTTCCCTGTGCCCGCGAGGAGGTGGACGGTCTCCAGAAGTGTCTGCCTCCAGCAGCCAGACATCTGTTAGCTGCACGTTTTTGCAGAGAGCTAGCAAGCCTACCGTAGTCCTGCTGCAGCTTTCCAGGCGGCGTGGAGTGAGCCAAGCGTCCTTATGTAGGCAGTGGGGCTTATTTGATATTCGGAGGTCTTTCTCACCCTAAGAATAACTTCAGATGTGACTCTTAATCAAAGTAGCTTTCCCATCCATGCGTTCCCTTCATAAATATAGCCTCTAGAAGAGATCTTACTACAAGCTAGATAGAGCAGATTGCGGGGTGGGAAGCGGCAAGAGAAAATACATAGCAGGACTGAGTCACTAACACTGAATTTAGCTGTGCTGGTGGGAGAGGGTGCTTTCCCCAGCTGTCCAGTCTGCCCTGGTGTCCTAGGCATGTTTCTCACATGCTGGTCTGCGAACGGACGTTTGGCCATTCCTACTGGTAAAGGGAGGGGTAACATTGATTTTTGGTGCCTGGGTAAACCAAATGCTTCATTTGCCAAGAGGGATGATGAATCAGAGCCCTGAGAAGGGTTTTAAAAACACCTTTTAGGAGAAAATAGGGTATGAAGCCATTCGCTTAACTTTAAAGGAATTGTTCTTTCTCGAAACTCGATTTTTCTCAAAACGTCTCTTGCTATAGTTATAAAAATAGAAAGAAATGCGCTTCTCGCTACCTTGAATCTTATTCCTGAAAGACAGTTGCCTGTTCCAGGTGGTGAACTCCTACCATCTTAGAGTGCGCCGGAAGAACCCGGTGACGGGGAACTATGTGAAAATGAGTTTACAGCTCTACCAGGTTGATAACCGCAGCTACCTTTTGGACTTTAAGAGCATTGACGGTAAGTGGGAAATACTGCAACTTGAGTTGTAAACCACATAAACCACATAAAATGGGAAGTTTCCCTCCCAAATTACACATCTGTCCCCACACGTGCCTCTTACCTGCTGCAGAGTCCCTTTTGGTCTCCTTTCAGATGACGTGATGGAGCAGCGGTCGGGCTCGTCCACGCCGCAGCGCTCGTGCTCGGCCGCCGGCTTGCACCGGTGCCCGCTGTGCCGCCGCGCCTGGGCAGCCACACCATGGACTTCTTCGAGATGTGCGCCAGCCTCATCATGGCCCTGGCACGCTGACCACAGCACCGTCCACTCTGCCGCCGTTGCTCCTTCGCCATCCTGCTTTGCTTCTCCTCGTCTTCCTCCTTCTCACTGCTATACGCTCTGCAACACAGAACCAAATCCTCTTTAAGAAGACCCAAAACCGACTCAGAGGATGGAGTCCTCTCTAACAAAGCATTGAAGAAATTAGAAGTAACTTCATTTCACTCATCACAGGGTGAAATGTATGCAGTCCACTTTTTTTTTTTTTTTCCTGGTGAACCAAGACGTGGCTGTAAAGTAGTAAACGTATTTTTAAGTTTTTGGCAAGCGCCGCTCCCCTAGTTGAGCCTGGGTTTACAAAACTGTGGCCAAGCATCACTTCCTGCACTGTATGTAGCGTGCAGCGAGGTTTATGTTGTGTCCACTCGGTTTTTCCAAGCAGAGAGGAGGATGGGGATGGCCCAGGTCAGAGGTACGGACGAGTAACTACACGAAAACAGAGCAGAGGGGTGATAAAATAGTTATGCAGCATTTACGCCCCTGTGCCAGCAGAGCTTTTATTCCCCCTCGTAAAACTACCAGCTGCTCGAACGCTTCTGCAGTAGTGGGAAATGCCAACCCTCCCCTCTCTTGCCCCCAAAGATGGGGTAGGGGATGTAGGCTCATGCCACGGGCAAAGCTCACACGTGCCCAAGAAAAGCACTGACCGGCTCACCGCTTTCAAAGGTGAAGGCTATTAGCATTTTTTTTTTTTTTTTTTTTTGACTCCCTTAAAATCCCGTGAGCAGCTCGCTCGCGCACCAGACCCGCGCGGCTCGACGCGGTTACCTTTTCGCCCGACCTTTTTCCGTAGGAAGGCCTCCTGCTGTGCCCCCACGGGGAAACCGCTGCGGAGCGGCCGCGGGCCGAAGGGCCCTCGCGCACCTCGGATGCTTTATGGACTGTGACCTTCACCGCTCTACTGATAAGGCAGGGATCTCTCAAGAGTTTTACTGTTTCTTTTACTACTGGCTATCTGAAGGATAGGATTTTATTTTTTAAAACAGACTACGGGGATTTTTAAGGTTAAATTCTTGTACTCAAGGGTAAACTCTAGTGCATGTGTGACATTTTTGTTTAACAGACCTATTACTACTAATTGCTTAGGCTTAACATCATGGGTAGCACTGACACATGCTTGGCTTTGCTATGGTGTTTAATTCCATTTACTTGATTGCAAAGGAACATAGTCTAATCAGTCAAGGAACAAACACTTTATGAAAACTTTGCCAAAAAAAACCCTGGCTGGGCTTTTTCCCCCCCCCCTTGTGCTTGTTTGTTTTGTTTAGGAAGCAAAGGTGAGCTTTAGCAAGGTTGTTGGTCCCAGGTATGCAGTCATTTGACTGTTAACAACTTAACCTGTCTTTTTGATAGCTTCTTATGACCCGCAGCGTTTTTTTTTTTTTGCTCAGAATTATTATTTTTTGTATGGTTGCACTTTAATTTATATTTTCTGTGAGTTTCTGTGTGAAGCATGGAAGAGAATGGCATACTAAGCCTTTTGTACTAAGCATTTTAGGTAACGATGACAAATATGGGATATTTTTGCCATCTACTGGCAATTAAGTGGACATTTGCAGCTTGAAGTCCCTTTTTTAAAAAAACACAAAATTGCCTTACTTTTGTTACAGATGATTACTCATTGATTCTCGCTTACGTGACTTTACAGCTCCCATTTTTGCAGAAGCCGCACAAAGTAGAAAACTTCCAAAAAAAAAAAAAAATCCGTTTTGCTGTTAAGTTCTCATATGATAAATCCAACACAGCAGTGTTTGGACTATAAACCCGGCAGCAGAACACTTTTGTTTTCAGAAGAAACACTGGAAAAATTTGTAGTACTCCTAGGTTTTGTAACCAGCTTTTATGATATTATCGTTACAAAATAAATAGTCTAGGGTGGAGAACGGCTTCGATGCGGTGCCTGGTGGCTCTCAGGTGATGAGCGTCTCCTTCGCTCTAGCATTAGCGGGTCATACTGGGCACGAACAGAGACTCCAGCCTCCCTCATTTAAAAAATACAGGGCAAAAGCAGACTGGTTTCTGGCTCTTGGAAGTTCATGCCAGCGTAACGGCACGACTGCCGTAGAGCCCTGCGCAGCCCGCCTGCCCGCAGCAGCTTTTGGCAGGCGGCACGTTCCCCCCCCAGAAAAGAGGCATGAGTCTCCGTTCCCCTACTATAAAATACATCTGAAAAGTAAAAGGCTGTTAAAAAATCATAGCTCACAATATTGCATCTTGCCAAGTTGCTTGTCCTGGAAATGACTGTAACCGCAGTTAATTCCAGCTGATAAAGGGCTCATGCATTAGGTACAATCTGCAGTTCAGATGCATTTAAATCTACGGACATCTTGCCTTAAAATTGCACTTGTCCTCTGGGATTTCCCATCCGGCAGAACTAATAATACTAAACAGCAGCAAATTCCCTTAGGAAGAAACATTTGCTTCCTGGTGGCAGGTGGGATTTCTAGGTTGCAGGACAAGAGTTTGTGGCACTTTGCATCTTCTAGGACCCATGCAAACCCTGGCTAACATATGGATCCGCGTCAGCTGTCCTGCCAAGGAGGCTAGCAGAATACCGCAGTTCTCCTGCGGTGCGTCAGCAGAGCGGGCTAGAGCAGCTGGGTCAGAGCGTGCGCTGTGGCTCGCCACGCAACGCTCCCTGCCGAGGGCTGGCTCCTCTGCGGACGTACAGCGTTAGCCTGGCCGTTCAATAGCCTTACCCAAAACCACGCTGCGTTTTGAAATAGGCTGAAAAGTTTTACTGTTTTTTTTTTTTTTCCAGATAGGCTGTTTTCTGGTTCCCAGCTACAAAGACATTACTGTCCTGCAGTTATACTTGCTAATTACTGTTCCACTGTGCTGAGTTTTTGTTCTTTTTTTTTTTTTTTTTTGAGTTATACCTATACATGTGTGGTCATCTGGATCAGCAGGGCAGATGCACTTGAACTGAACAGGCTTGAATTCCTCCAAGTGCAATTCTTGAAACCACTGGACGGCTGTGCTTTGCAAGGCGCAGGTTCACCCGAACGTTGCCTCCGCCGCAGGGAGAAGGAGTCCGCGCAGGGGTGCAGCTCAGTTTGGCTCCAGCATTATCTGCTAGTTCCTGGATGAGCTCATTCCAGAAAAATTTGCACTGTACTGCTTGGCAGATATACATTTATATGTGTATAGATATATGTATACATGCATATTAGTATATATGTGTGTGTGAGTACACACACACACACACACACACACACACACATACATATATAAAAAAAATATATAGGTGACTTCCCTGCCATTGGGCTCTTTGCACAGCTATCTGCTGGCCCTAAAGCTGTTGCTGGGACCAGCTCACCCTCCCTTTCCCACTCAGCTGTATTCGCCCGGCAGAGTAGGTCTGCGCCCTGGACGCCCGCCACAGAGGCACAGTAATCCCGGCGCACCAGCCGAGCCGGAGCAAAGGGATGATATTTTTATCCCCTTTTCTAGGTAAAGCCCATCAGTAGCTTACCTGAGCCGGTCGAGCCCTGTGCCGCAGGGATGGCGAGGACGTTTCAGGATCCCGCTCCGTCTTCCCTTGCGCCTGCTCCTGCCCAAGCCCGCGCGGCCTCGGCCTTCGGAGCAGTTGTGTTTTCTAGAGTCGGAGCTGGACAAGCTAAGGCAGCATGGATTTTTTTTTTTTTTTCCCCCCTAACAGGTCAGAAAAACACATGAAGTTCGAAAGGTGCGGACAGGCACAGGGATACGGGCAGGGCTATGAAAAACAAAGCGACCCGTTCATGTTGCCTGTACGGTTTTTGCAGTTATAATGCCAATTCGTATCAGAACAGACTTAAGTTCGCACGAGATGACCATCCTGTCTACTCCTATTCATTTTACTGTTCTTTGTCGGAAGCCTTTTATACAGCTACGTAGCAGGAAGAGACCTGTTCACAGAACAAAACCGTGCCTTCGACACGCGTGGCGACTGCGGGACGTCGCAGGTCCTTTTATTGCATCGGGTGCACAAATCATGCGCCATGTGCAGAGTGACGCTGACGAGACGTGCGTACCGTGTTTCTAGATACTTGAAGTACCATGAGCTGTGCAATTGTTTGGCTTGACTTTTGTATTAGTTCGGGGTGGGGGGTAGGGAAGAGTCTCACATCCCTCCTGTCAGATGAGCCAAAAAAACCTCACTCCAGTTTCTATAGCGTTTTACTGGAAAGCGTTAGGATCCGTGTTTGTTTTAAAGGTATGATCTAGCTACTACAGTCACCTTTCTTGAGGTCTCAGTTCTGGTACAAGCTTTCTTTTGGCATCCTTAGTCCTTTCCTCATATATTTATTTTCATCATTTGCTTGTGAAAGAAAGCAACAGCTTCCTGTAATTCTGAATTTCCAATCTGCTTCTTGGACATAGATTTAATACTACTGATTAATACATACAGATTCATGGAGAGGTACCTCTCTCCACAGGCACGCTGGGAAGATGAACTCGTTTTTTTAGAGTTCCCACGTTATATGTATTGACCAAACACTGGCTCTTGCGGAGAGCAGGACTGATATGAAATGCATTCAGTGGACATTTTCAGTCATTGGGATTAGGAGAACTGGTTGGTAAATCAAAAAAAATTAGATGTAAAGCACGAATAACCTTCTACTGTTTTAGTCTGTTTTTAACAAAAACCTTGAAATTCCTAATGCTGAAGCTGCCTTAATTTAAAAATCAAAGTTTATTTATAATACTCATACTATCTCTGTTTTTCAAGTTTTGAAATAGTTAATTTATCGTCATCTCACAAAGCTGTGAAGTAGGTACTGTAGACATGGAAATATTTATTCGTGTTGCTGAAAGCATGTTCATGTGTTCTGTATCATGTTATATTGGCATGTTTTGTACCTCAATGCCTTTTTTTTCCCCCTCTCCTTTTAGAGTGCAAAGCAAAACTGAACCTCAGGATCGCTGTAGTGTCCATGACCCAGTATCTTTGGGCAGATAATCTTAAACCCTGAGAGATACCAACCAGACTAGTCCATTGCAAAAATTTTTTTGGGGGGGGGGTCTATAAATAATAAATATTTATGATCTTTCTCATGTTAAAATAACTCATGTTAAAATACTGAACTTTGAAAAGCTCTGAGTATAAGTATCTCTTCAAAAATGTCATTAACGTGAAGTTCGGAAAAAACGCGGAGTTCTAGACATACTTCCTGGGCCTCGGCATCTTGTGGGTTGTCACCTGCTGGACCGCGACAGGTTGTGTTGTCAAATTAACGCTGCCAGTCCCGTCTGGGTGTAGCGGTTGTGGACGGGCACCGCGCCTGGGTTCAGTTTTGTCCTTTGCGCAGGTCATTGCGCGTTAGATAATCACAACGAAGCCTTTTACCTCCCATCCTCGGTGTGGAAAGCGGTTCTGGGCGTACTGCACTGCATGTGATTGCTGTCTCCGTGGCTGACGTTTGCACTTTAATAAAGTCCGAGATGAAACGAGGCAATGGCAACAAATCCTTAAAACCCAGGCACGGGAGGCTGCGGCGGCCGGGATAACGCAGCCCATTTCCCGGGTCCCAGGGCGCCGGCGGAGGTGGTGCAGCCTCCGGCATCGGGGTGGCCAAGGCTGAGGGAGGAGAGTTAAAATACACAGAGAGGCATGACCAAAAGGGCGTCCCCGAGCCCAGGGGTTCGCGGCCTTTTAGCACGTCCCCAGCGGAGCCGATGGGTGACGTCAAGGAAGCTTTGTCGGCCCGTCCGCCCCAAAACGCGCCTGGGGCTTCGCGGCTACGCTCGCTTAGGTCTTGACTCCTCGTGCAAAAGCATCGGGGGAAGCGTTTGGGAGGCGTTTTTGCAAAGGTAAATTTGCTTGGCGGGATGGGAGCTCGGGGGTCTGTTCATACATGCCTGTGACGCAGAGGGGCGCAAACCCAACTAAAGCACGTAGGCTGCGGCGAGCGCTCCAGTCTTGTCCCCGTCCTCCGTCCCCTTTCCACCGCGTTTATGTGGCACAGACTCGGCTTCTAAGAAATTTTGCTTCTCCCTCAGATTCAGCAAGTCAGAGCTGTATCATGGTGATTTCCGTTTTGAAAGGAAATGTGGAGGATGAGGGTTTAAAATTCACATGAGATTTAGTGCAAGCTTTGATTCATTCAGGAGGTACTATTGAGCAAGGCTATTAAAAAATAATAATAATAGGGATTTAATTTCCTAGACAGTATTTTGACCTGAGTGGAGCCAACCTGTGGTTTAATTGGGGAAACCTGTTGAAGTTGCTACACCTGAGATATTTCTGTATTGTCTAAGTATCAAGTGCTTTCCTTAAGAACTTGATTTTAAGTTTTAAGTAAGTGCCTTATAAAGTTTGCTCGCGTTCAGTAAGCTGTTGTGGCCAACGCGAGCGCGCAGGTTTGAGTTTCACACTGAGCTGGGTCGCAGCCCTGCAAGGGCCGGGGAAGTTCCCCAGGGCCAGGACTCGCGGCTGCGCCCTCAACGGTGAAAACTTGTATTTCACTCACCGTGGCAGATCTTAGCTCACTGAAGTTGTAAGGACCTTTTGTGTGTGTGTGTGTGTGTGTGTGTTGTTTTTTAATGACCTTTTAATCTATCCTGTGACTTGCAACGGAAGAATTTTTACTAGGACAATCCTCAGCTTGAGTGAATTGTAGCTTGCCAAAAACCAGTCTTGTTAAATATCTCCCTTAGAAAACAGAAACAAAAAATAGCACATGCAGCTAATAGAAGATTTGCCTGCAGTGTTTATAGAGTATATTCTTAACAGACTTCAGTACTTCGGAGCTAGTGTTAGATGGGGAGGAGGGAGAGGAAGGAGTTGGGAAAGAAGGTGCTTTCCTGATAGACTCAGCTTAAACCTTTGCCATGGAGAAAAAGGGGCCACAGGTAAAACGTCCTCATGACTCCCATCAGTGGAGTTACCGCGAAGGCAGGAGCTGAAGGACGTAATAAAAGTCCCGGTCGCCTCTGAAGCCAAACACGCACTTCAGCTCCCCAAATATTCCAGCTCAACTGGAGAAGTCTAAATATTTGGGCTGGCAAGCTTGCAAAGCTGCGCACGCTTAAGTTTTTTTCTTTTTTTTTATCTTTTTGCAAGTATGGATATAGGCCAGCACACTTAATAGTAACCACATGGCAAAATAAATAAGAATGCCTGTATAGACTTTAAAGTAAATGTTAAATATTTGCTCTGTTTTTCTGATGTCTCCTATGCCAGCTTTGAATCAGCCGTGTGGCAAACAGCGTTCTTATTTTGCTTTCTTAAGCCTGGAACGTTTAATAATTTCTAATTAAACCATCTACATTTTTAGGATTATTTATGAGCAAACTGATATGGGCTCTTAAAATGCACTGGGGAAGGGCAGAGGCTATACAGTACGGTAATATTTAAGTTTGTTTCTTCCAAAGCCATGTGAAAACACTACTACAAAAAAAAAAAAATCAGAGTTCACATTTTTCTCCTTTTGAAATGGTATCCATTGGATGCACCAATGACAAACTACTCACAATTTATATTTCTCTTTCTACTTTTAAGAGCATTTTTCTTAAAAAAAACAATCTTCACCCTGGCCCGCAGCGGGGAACAGTTCAAACACAGAAGCAACTGTTGGGTAGCTACCTGCTCTTGGAAGCCAGGGGAAGCTAGAAGTCAGCCTTTACATAGCTTGGATGCCTAAGTCAACTTATGAAAATAAAGTGAATTTTGAATGAATGCTCTATTTACTCTCTTTTAATGGTTTTTGAAAAGGAATGAGTCAACTTTTCCACCATTTAAGGTATTTAACCCTGCAACAATGGCTCTAAATATTTGTTGTCCCAATACCCAGTGTCCCCATTTGCTGTCTCCAAATCAGTTCAAATGTATACGATTTGCTTTTTAAAGCGCGCACCAAATTCTTTTGGGGGATCTTGCAATTCCAGCACTTGAACAGGTAGCAACAAGATAGACATTAAGCAACTAAACTGGTATGTTTTGCACAAATAAGGTTTTTCACATGCAAATGCAAAAACATTGTAGCTGTTTGAGAGCTAAGGTACTGGAACAGCTAGGCGCTAGTGGGCCGCCCACACGCAAATTTGCTTTGCCAGAAAGTGAGAAATCCTGAAAATAACTAATGGCAAGATAATCACTGAAGGCACGTTCTAAATATCAGAAAAAAGGCAACGTCTCTTACATGTTTAACAGTGTAAGTGTAAAAACAAAACTTTATTTACATTCCCATCAGCTCTCCATGGCTGGCAAACGGGCTCTCACGGACATGCGACGCTCCAAGCGGCTCTCCAGGGATGCTCCGTGGGAGGACACCAGCGCGCTCAGGAGCGGTTAGTAGTGTCTGTCGCAAAGAGAGAGTTTCACAATGCTGGATACCTTAGCAATAAGGGTTTTATTTGTATGAACTGCAAATGAGCAGGCAAAGAAATAATATTGCAACAGAGAATAGAGAGGTGTATTTTGTTACGATAATGCATATATAACAGACCATGTTTGCAGCAGATGTAAATTAATATGACATAACTGAGGGCAGTCAAGCTTCTCCAGTTTATACCACTTATAGCTGGGTATCAGCAGTTTTGAGGGTTTTGTAACCCACAAGTGGACTGGAATTATGCATATCAGTGTAATATCATACTAAAACCAGAAATATTTATTTAATGTTTAATACCGGCTGTTTACATTAACCTTCCCCTAGCTTCAGACATTTTAAGTAGCTTTGTATAGATCTAAAATATCCATGTACAGAGTAAGTAGAAAAAATATGTACTAAAATAAATAAAATCTGAGTTTACCTGAAGTTCAAATGCTCCACTAGAACATACCCATCTAAGAGAAATATTAAAAAAAAAAAAAAAAGCAAATCAGTAAACTCTCAAGCAAATAAAGTTGTAGTGGCTAAGCACAAAGAGCATACAGTTGCTTGCCAAGCCAATTTGCCCCTCAAAACTGGATGGAAAACTGACCACTTGTGCCAGAGAACTTTTGCAAACTCACATCTGCCCTGTGCATTGCGGCAAATCACTTCGTTGCCTTCCGTGGTATCAATAACATCCAGCTGTTCCCCAGCTGTGATGGGGAGATCAACTCGCCTTTTACTCGGGACTGAGCACAGGGCCACTGCGATGTTGATGATGCTGATCTCCTTATCGTACTGCAGAAGATCAATAAAAATACAAGTTATTTGACATTCATACCTGCCTTACAAGTCCACCTGTGTTATTGGAGCAGTTAAATTACCTAGAGAGGGCAGTAGTTTGCTAACAAGCTGATTGAGGTGCTTTGAGGGAGACCAAAAAAAAATATATATATTTCTTGCAAATATTGGAAAATGCAAAAAGGGACTCCTTAGAGCAACACCTATGAAGAATGATCCCAGATGAGGAGAGACCATGACATGCCAGTTAGACGTCTCTCCTAGTACAACCAACAGTTTTCCCTAGTGTATCTTTTAATCATGATACGTGGCTGTTTTCTTCCTCTGACACAGCAAATACTCCCCTAAAGAGAGACACGTACCATAAATGTTTCTCTAAACAACGTTTCTTCTTTGGCCATCTTCTTGCTTTTTTCTGCGTTGCACTTCTTGACTTTGAAGATACTTCTGCATTGAGAGAGAGAAACACACGTCTGAGCCGTCTTGAGATAACCGTTGGCAAGGGGAGAGCGCAGGATATACAGCACAAAGCCCACCTCCAGGTTAGTCTCGAAAAAACTCCTGCAAGAGCAAAGCACTCTGCTCACACCGCTACCTTTTCACGTAGTGCACATAGAGAGAAAGACGCAACGCAGATCGTTAGTGAGCATAACGTGATCTCTTTTGCACCTCCATTTTGAATAAAAGTTATCTCTGTCAATGGCATGGGACAAATGAGGGCTTTATCAAATATTTCAAATTTGTTGTCTCTTTAAAGAAGGAAGATAACAATTCACTTTTTCCCCCCTCCTCCAATTTGTCTCCTATTTTTATTTACAATCAAACATAAAAGGTCCCCAGCTAAATCTCATCATGGGTTGTTTAAAACAGAGGGGCTTGATACAGCTCTGCAGACACTTATATGGCACTATAAAATGAAAACCAAGGTCTTTGAATGGCCTGAAATGGCCTTTCACGCTGAGGTCTTCCCTGGGTCTGGAGATGTCACTCTGTGTTTGACACGTGAAATTACTACAGCTGTAGCATTAGTTTTAAGACTAAGGTGGGGAAAAAAAGCCACTTGCAATAAATTATTCACTTCTAGCTAACTTTCATGCACTTAAAATTAAAAGGAAGGGAAATAAGAGTTGAAGTCAGGCATTATTTTAGCTGTTAACTTCATTGCCAGTCTCATCCTTCAAGAACTGTGATCTCTAACGAGCAGATGAATTCTCACCTGCTTCCTGATTTTCTGTTAAATTAGTGCATGGCTTCATGCAACACAAGCAGCATTTTAGCAACCCAACAGAGGAATTCTGTGCTAACACAGAAAACGTACCACTGCCTTCCATTTGTTCAAAGTCCCAAATACTGGGTTGCTAAAAACTCATTACAGTGCATATTTTTCTAATCAAGAAGTGAAATGAAATCTCTTCGTTCCATGAGAAGCTTTTGCAGTCCTGGTAGAAAAAATGTCCATTCTTGCCTTATGCGCAATCAGCACGGCACGGCGACAATGCTATAAACCCTGCTAGAAGAAGAAAGACCCAAGAAATCAATGCTTTAAGATACGGAGAACATACAGGCAATTACTGCACTGTACGCAAGCTTTCTAAAAACAGTGGTGTTGCCAAAATAGCAGTGGCTGATGCACAGAGATCAGATAATCAAGCCACAATTAGTCATAGAAGGAATGGGACTGAGCACAACAGAAAAGCAGCCAACTATATAGCAAGCAGCATCTTTTTGTCTCGGCTGAGCAGGAAGATGCAATGCAACTTCAGGACGAGACCCTCAAGGTACCCCCCGCTTTTATACGCCTCGGATCCAAGCGTTTGTTTTTTCTGCAGATACTTTCTGCAAAGTTTCCTGAAAGCTGGCTTCAAAGGGAAAGACTCGAGTAGTAGCCAAATATCAAATGTTTTCTTCAGCAGGTACAAAGCTGCTGAAAGATGCCGGCTCAGCCATGACAACCCTGTACGACATGGGGGTTACAATCAAGTCACTGCCCGGTCCTGCTGTGGCAAACAGCTTAAAACACATTAGGTTCACCCTGTACATAGTTAGACAATGTGGAAAAACATACAATGGAAATAAAGACCTTTCCACATCTTCACTGCTTTTCCTTCGGTCCTTATCCTCTTTTAACATCAGAAATTTTGGCTTCCAGTTTCTGCATTTGACATCCTTTTCTCTGAGAGATGGGGGAGAAGAAACACATCAAGATTAAAGTTTTCCAGTAGAATTTTTCCCCTTCCCCCCACCCCATAAAACCGTGTACGAACAAAGTCACGTTTCTTTCTCTCAGTTTGCCCCCCACCACCAGCGCTGAAATGCAAACATTGGCTGCAGTTTATATCAGCACATGCCACTGCTGCAATCATTTGGAAGCAAGACATACAGCCATGCTGTTCCCATTAGAAGTAATTTATCTGATGAGGAGCTTGCCAGAACCACACTGATTGCAGGCGCTGAGAGCTGAAGTTTTCCTTCCTTATGAAAACTGAATTTTCAAGCATTTTAGGGAACAGCTCTCTCCTTTTTGCATCTTATCTGGCACTAACCAGGTAGCATCTAAGAAACATTTTTGGATGCTACTTGCCAGGTTAAATATACATGCAGAGGGCCTGGGACGGCCTCTGGAGTAGCTGGAGAGGCCAGGACAGATCCAACCCCGTGCGGCTCTGCTGCCGGAGGTCTCCAGATTATCCCGGAGGACCACAAGCCTGAAATACATCTGCACCCCTGCCCAGAGGTGCTGCTGAACTGAGCACCCTCCTCACCTTGGCTCCGTCTGCCCTCCCTCGACATCGTCGTATGTGTCCTCCTGCGAGACAGCAGCTGCTACCAAAATGTTCAGCATAGCAATGAAAACACAGTTTTGAGTCCCGTAGTCAAAGCGATGTATTGGAAAAGAAAATCAGGAGGAGAGCTGGTTGCTCAGCCCAAAGGGCCAAAGTGATGTGCAAGACAGGTCCTAGGGCTCTGAAAACCAGCCAACACCAGCATCAAGGTGGGATGCTTGAGCTTTCTAGTTGCGTTTGTGGGCAGTTTTCTGGTTGGATTTGACCAGTTGTCATGAGACAAACTAAGGATCCTGCCCTTCCAGCCGGTTTAACTGAGGCTGGTGATGGAGGTGGAGATACGGCTCCAGCTGCTGCAGAGGCTCAAACTGTATTTCCTCTCCTTGCTAATAGCAGCCAGCCTGGCCCTGCAATGGGAGCGACCTCCCTGTCCCCCTCCATCCTTGTTACAGCCTCACTCAATTCCTCAAAACAGTCCCCTATGGCCTTGAAAAACAAAAATAAACCCCACACCCTCAAGTGAAGCATAAACTCATATCAATTCTTTAACATCACCACATTACGTGATTTTCAGAGAGGCACAATGCATAAAGTGTATTTTCCATCATGCGATACACTTGCCTCTTCACATACATTAATCCCCATGAGAGCCATTTGCACATATGATGCTTACCTAAATTTGGTACTGAACTGGAAGACAATCTGAGGATAGAAAGGTACTTTTAGAAACAAGATTGCACATCAGCATCACTGAAGGACTGCTGCAAAGACACAAGCCGGAAGCACACAGCGCTTGTTGCTGAAGCAACAAAAGGGCACAAGCTTGAAACAGGCTTTGACGAAGCTGCTAAATCAGGATCTCCATCCTCTGGCAGTAACAAGAGCTGTGCGCGTTCATTAAGCAAGTTATGAAAGGTCTACATTTCATTCCAAGAAGAGCTGCAAATCTACAAGAGCATCCTCCTCCCTGGCCCTACACCCTTTCCAATAGCTACAGAGCGGGTGGGCAACTGTATTCAGTAGTAATTCCCCCCCTTGTAGACTCCCAGTATATCATGGATTGACCAGGAATTTAAGCATGACAGTAACTGAGGATATCAAAGACGCTCATAGAAGCTTTAAGGGTCCTTTGCAGCAAGACATGGCATGACATCTGGTTACTCCTCATTTATGATTTTATTTAGCATCTATGCAGGAAAGAGTCATCAGCATGGAAGGCAACCTAGTGTGAAAGTGGACTTAAGAGAGAGAAATCTTTCTCAGATAAGATTTCCTCTAGACATAAGAATCAACGAAGCAGTAACTGTGTCCCAGCATAACAAGAAAGTACACTGCACAGAGAGGGGCTTCTCATCTCTTGGGAAGAGCATGACAACCAAGCACCACCTGCAAAATCCTCTGCAGGTCATGGGCCCACTACTGCCTTCGAGAGCTGTGTGCCTACTGGCTAGACTTTACTGGTGGGCACGCAACCACATCTAACAGACATCTTTGCCAGCAAGAATAGCAGCTGTACAACAGCTGCCCGGCCAGGATGAGCAACTAGCTTCCTTTAAAGCCAAATTCACACATTTCCAGATTCTTCTCCAAATAAATAAGAAAAAGTAGCATTTGCCCAGACTTGAGAGTGAGGCATACAGTGGTGGAGGAGGAGGACAGCTCTGCAGCCAGCTGCCGCGCGTGGTAGGGAAAAGGCAGTTATAAAGGAGTTTTTCATACAATGTGCTGAGTCAGCTTCCAGAGACTAAACCAGTGTTTTGAATATTAGGCGAAGAGGACCCTAAAGGGCACTATGGGAAGTTATACAATATCCCCTCTTTGTTTTGCTGCTAACTTGCTAGACCAAAGACTCAATAGTAAACTTTTTTAGCAGATGCTGTTGCCAGCCTGACTAGAAATGGTGCTTAGAATAAAAAGCTTAACACTTAAAAGCCACATCAGCGAGCCTTTGCCTAATCCTAGCCTACAGGTATAGGCAGCGGGTAGACATTTCTAAGCTCCCCTGTGCACCTGCATTGTGCTGAGGTCTCAGAAAGGCCCAAAAGGCAGGAGAAACCAACACCTGCAGGTGCTGCAGACTTCTGAGGCCAGGTACTTCAGAGAAGCTGCCTGGAACATGACATGGGCACACATGGACCAGTGGCCAAACTGGCCATGGCAGTTCCTAATGAGATGATAGAAGTGATTTTGGAGTGATTTTTCCAGATTAAGCTGTATTCTTTACCCCAATACCTCCTGGTCTCAGATTATTGCAGATATGAACGCTCAGGTTTGGAGGCGGAAGGGGTTAGCCAAGAAACATTTTCTTACCTTAAGTTCTCCTTGAATCTGGTATTCTTCAGTTTAAATTTTTCTATCTTAAAGATGTTTCCAAATCTCTTTTGTTTTTCTGCCCTGTCCAAAATAAGAAAGAGGCTTTAATTTTAAGAGGAGCCGGGCACTGAAATATGTGAGACCTGCAATACTTGTAGCCCCAGAGATCCCAAGAGCAGGAAAGGAGAGCCAGCAGATCTCAGACATCAGTTCAGGAATAGGCTTTAAGCCCTCACAGCACCATGCAGAGGAACGATGGATTCAATGGCATAGGCACAGGCAGAGCGTAAGATGCTTAATTATAAAGTCTGAGCTCCAATCTTTTGATTAGCCTCAACCTGTTACTGTGTTAACTAAGGTTGGAATACACAACAGGAGAATTCCCTTCCTCCCTTCTCCGACCCCACAAATATGGAACGATCCAGGTTTATTTGGACTAAAAATTCCTAAAGAAAAAATTCCCTGGCAGTGTTCGGCACACAGGAAAGAAGGAGCTTCAGAAGACCTCATTTCCGTGCCAACCTTCATCACACATTTCTCTCGCGTAGGTCCTTGAGCAAGACATTCCCCTCCCCGCACTTCCCTCTGAGGCTTCTGAAGGGGCTGCAAAGCCACAGTGATTTCATATTAAAGTGTCTGCAAAGAACCAAGATCCTCACATGGGGGACATTACATATGCACAAGTACTATTAAAAATACTTTATGTGCATCAGCAGAGCTAATCCTGCATACGGGAACAATAGAAAGCTTATGTCAAGAGGGGCTTGGGGATTAAGATACTGAACTAGGAACTCAAGAGAATTTACTCCCAACCCTAGCTTTGTCATGAAATTCCCTTGCAAATACCAACAAGATACACTGCTCTTCAATTTTGCTGTTTATTAGCAATAAAGTTTCATTTCTGCCACTGTTCAACACCTGTATACACAGTGTATTTCTGTAGAAGAGGTGCAGAATGGTCATGGAAAAGGAGCATGGTTTTAACAGCAGCACACAACGACAAATATGAACTAAAGAGTGGTAAAAAGATCTCACTCCAGGGTGAGAGGCAGGTTTGGGTGCTGGACATGCTCTGACACCCACACACTCCGTGTGCATGCATAAGCTCAACTTGAATCCAGATGCAAGTCAGCACGTCCATAAGAGAAAAGCACATGTTCAGAAACACTGCATTATTCCTCCCACACTGCTCCTCAGAAGAGAGCCACCAGATGCACTTAGAGTAATTTTATGCAGCATTCGCAGCCCGTATGCCATTCCCAAAGGTTACCTCTATTCCTTTCAAAGGGATGCAGGAAATTTTCTCTGCACACAGAAAGGGAACCACACAAAGCTAAAAAGCAAAAAATACAACTAACTTCAAGTTTCACCTTTTAATCCATTTGGAAAGCTCAAGCAGCATATAAACCAGAGGCTGCAAAACTCATTGCTTTTATAGCACACCCTCTGGAAGCAAATATGATTAGAAGACATAAAAAAAAAATGGGTTGCAAGTGAGTTAGAGCATGTTTGATGCAGGCACTAGCTCACAGCCTAGACCCCTTCCAGTTTTTCAGCTTTCTGTTATCTGAAACTTGGGCATTCTGTTCCTTTTAACATGAGCATGACCTCTTTTGGTACACACCAGCCTCAGAAAAAAGTCATTTTTCAGGTACAGCTGAATAATGCTTTAGCTCAAGAGAAGTATTGCAAGACTTTGCTGTATCATTTGATGCAAACAGAGACAGCTTGCCAGTAAGGAGAGTGCCAACAAGGAGGGAGAGGGCTACAGGCGCTAACAGGAAGGCCTCACAGCTTAGGGACTTAATTTGGTAACCACTTTTTGTCCCTTAAGGGTAAAGCCAAAAGAGGAAGGGGGAAGAGCGGGGAAGAAAGCCATCCATACAGTATCTTCTCTACAGTCCTCTTAGGAAAAAAACCCTTCCAGCCAGAACCTGGCATACAGGATCAAGGAAGTATGGTCAGGATTTTCAACTACAGGCTAATAAACGGCAACTTACTCCACTTTTGCTGGATTATCATCCCCAGTCTCAACATCTTCATATGTTTCTTCATAGTTTCCTGAAACTTAAAACCAAGGAATGCCATTATCACGAATCTTGTTCAGTAGCGAAGGGTTGAGTCCTGCTGGACAAATTGCATCCAGGCTGTGCAACTTTACCCTAGCAGAGCCTTCCAAGGCAGTCAAATTAGAGCAATCAGGCTAGCAGGACATACTAGAGATGCTGCATGTTAAATGAAGTGTTCGCATCATCTAACAGGCACCTGCCTATATGTAAAGCAGCCCCCGTTCAAGCTTCCCAGCGCCGGGGAACTGCACTTACTGCAGTCTGGAGTCAATGAACTTGAGGCCTCTGAAGTGTGGCTGCTAGGAGACAAGACAGAGGTACTACATCAGCATCTGTGGCAGCATAGCTTTCCAAAGGCGTTGTGCAGAGTCCAGATCCATACTCACAGTCCGCTTTGAAATCCCTCAACGTCGTCATACACATCCTCCGATGACTGCAGAGGCTGTCCAGTGGTTTGGCTCAAGGTTAGCCTTTCTTCAGCTGGTTTTGGAGCACCCACGTACATGTAGCGACCTAGAAATGAGAAAGTGCCTTTGCTTTAGAAGCCTTTCTGAGCAATTCCTTCTAGGTCAAGGTTAACTGACCAGGTAACAGTTGATGCCACAATAAACAACACCTTTCAGACGTTTTTTTTTAATTCTAGAAGTCCAGGAAACTCTTTGTTCTGAGCCACTTTGAGAAAGAAAAGCAAATAGCTTTAAAAACATTTTTAGAAGTTGTAAAACGTTTTGCATTAAAATATTTTTAAAAATTCATCAATAATCTCAATTGCAGGAGCTCTGAGCCAAATCTTCTCACCTGAAAACATCCCAAGAGACGAGTCATGGATGTTCAAAGAAGCAATTGAGGGAGGGTTTAGTATTGATCGTAGAGCTGCTAAGATCTAAGCAATGGGTTAATCCACTGGGAATATGCCTGTAAATTGACATGTTGGAAAGGAGACAAGGAGAGAGAGTCTCCCAAAAATGTGTTTATTTCATCATGAGGTGAAAATAGGAGAGTACGAGAATTGTACCTCATGAGATTAGAAGATTATTACTGGAAGACTCTGTTAAGCTGGCAATATTAAATCATTACGCCAACTCTTCTTTTAAATTTGTTAATGTAGAAATGTAGTCACACAAATAAAAACAGATGCTCTTTCTAAATGAGCACATGAACATGCAGTAGCTCTCACCATAAACATGTGACACCAGAACATGCTCTAGTTAATGACCACAATTTCTGCAACATATTCAAGCCCCCTAGAGCAAAACTCAGGGGAGAAGGGAAGCACGAGGAGAAAAAAACAGTACTCAGAATCAGCAGAATCAGCCCGTCTGGTCTCTCTGGTGAAGCAAAAGTAGGAAGTCAACCCTGAGTACTTCTAAAAAAATCCTACCAGAAATTACCTCCAGCCATTCACCAGGCAATCAAAACAGCAGGTTGCTTACAAAAAGACACACCAAGCAAAGCAGAAAATTCCTATGAAGTGATTTAAGATTAAAAAAAAAAAAAATCCCCAGGAACAAAGCAATATCAGCAGTCCCAGCCATAATCAGTTTAGACTAATATTCTCTCCACAGAGCCCAGCAGAACTACATTTCTCTCTCTTTCAGCTTTGAAATCCTACTGTGCCACACTAATGGCTTTCAGAAGCAGGAGCAAGCCTTAGCACAGCAGAGTCCAAACACGCATACACCCGAAACTGCAGAATAATGTTCAGAGGGAGGAGATATGACTGGTTTTAACTGTGCAGCTCAGCTGCATATTGCCAGCTCTGCCTATCTCAGAGCATCATGACAGACAGGGGAAGCCCAAGGTCAGATACCATAGCTGTAAAAAAAAGGCTCATTGGAACCACTAAGAAGCTGGAGCAAGGAGTCATCCATCTTAATAAGGGGCAGGGGCACGGGGGAGACATCAGGCTCTCGTCCTGCTCACGTATGTCTCTACCGCAAGCCGCAGCCAAACTCTCTTCTGAGACTCAATAAATTACGAGAAGCAGAGGAGATGGATTTCAACTCTCTCGGATAAGGGCAATCTGCTAGAAAAACAAACACCTCGGTTTGAGTTATGCAGATGGTTAACCAACTTAGGAAGCTATTTGCAAAGCCAAAATAAATGATTCAGACCAGAATACAAATGCACATGCAACCTTTTGCCCTGGTTTAACTAAATTGGTTCAAGAGTTGCATCCAAATTTAACATCTTTTCCATATGGAAGAGACATTTGGGCAACAGATGGGAACGAGGCATGAGGAAACACTCGAGAAAACCCCGAGACACTCACAGCGTTCTGCTCCTGCTTTCGCCAGCCTCTGTGGGGTAGGATGCTCTGTAGTCTGGGCGCTAGTCACATCTCCTCGATTCACTTGCGGCACCTTCTTCCCACCTCTGCCTTCTTCCTTGGGCTGGGCTCTGAGAGTCACATAGTCATTTCCGCCTGTCTGAGATCAGACACTTGGTTCAGTCGATACACTATTTAGGAACAGATTTCTAGAATATAAGCTGTCTCTCTGCGGGCCTAGAATGGTTTCACACCCTTTTGCAGCAGGGATTTCTAATAGGTGTACATGTTGCTTGGCAACATTAGATGCCTTTTAGGCAGTACCAGTTGTACAATGGGCAGGCAGAAGAGAAGACAGAAAAAGCACATGATTAACACCCCTAAATATTTGCATTTCTTTCCTGAAGAAATGCAGAGCAGAAAGGGAAGGAGCAAACTACATTAACCGTTAAAAAGAATCTCAGGGGCACAATACCTTGAATATTTTCTTTGCTTGCTGTTTCTCTCTTTCAAGACTTGTTTTTTCCTCTTTTTCATCCTCTACAGCTCTTCCAGGACTGAAAATTTAGGTAATGACAGCAAACTCAGAATAGAGACACTTCAGCAAAGTCACAGACAAACAGATTTTGTATGACTGCATCCTAATAAGCAGCTCATATTCCCTTTGAACAAGGTTGGAGATGCCATAAACAACCAGTACTGGAAGCCAGGGCAAAGCCACATCTACAGGACACTGGTTACTTGGGGTAATCACTCTTTGAGAAGAGGCAAACTAGGATCACTGTATTTTCCAGTAGCAGGAACATACAACCATTTGCCAGTGGTCGTACCTGGCTCATGGGCCATGCCTGTCGTCATGCAATATTGCAATTTAGGAGAGAACACACAGCAATGGGAAGAAAAATGGGGTACGTTTTCTCAGATATGACAACATATCCCACTGGCAGGTGCCTAGAAGTGAGCCCTTTTATCACGTGCTTCTTCAATCACCATTGAAAAAAACAGCCTACAGCAACTGACAGTAATTAAACACTGCAAGGAGTTGGAAGCGTGTCATTTATATTCGACACAAGCGAGGTGAAATTTGGTGTTGTCCTTGACTTACTGCATGGCTTTGGACTTGAGACCAGCTCTCCCCAGTTTGTGAGCCTCATACCTCTCCCTTCTTATACTGAAAAAGGTCAGGTTTCAGTATGAAAAGCCAATATACTTTTTGTGCCAGAGGGAAGAAAAAAATCCCATCAATACCTATGCCGTGGACTGAAAACAAGTTTTGAGACTTGCCTGCTGACACAGAGCAGCGTGATCTTCTACATGGCCCTGGTCACGAATGAGTTTATCATCAGTGTGTTATAGTCTTCTAATCCCAACCGGGGTTAGTCTCAGGGTTAGAAGAGCAAAAGAGAGAGACAGGAAAGGAAATTACCTGTATTTGGCAAAGAGAAAACTCTTCTGCTTCTAGAACAAAGAAGAGGAAAAACTTCAGCCACTATGCTTTTTTTCAACAGAATCAAACTTTTAAACAAGCCTTTCCTATCATCTAGTATTTAAAGAAGTATTTCTTTAGAAAGCCCAGAAGAATTTTACATTTGGAATAGTCATCAGACAAGGATATTTCCCTTACTTGCCAGGGCAGAGGATACACATATTGACAGACTCTACAGGGATAATATAACAGTGCAAGGGATCAGGCCAGTCAAGCTACTGGTTGGAATGAAAGAAATTACAGGTTGGAGGGCTAACAGAAGAGGAGGGAGATTTTTTTATTACTTAAAAATAAAGATTTTCCAACCTTCCATAAATTAAAAATATAGAAAAGCCAGAGCACCTCTCTGCAAATCATGTATAGATAAGTGCATTTGGAGACCTGTGCTATTTCCTGGACAATTTGATCGCTTTGCAAGTCAGCACTTGAGTTTGGAATTTGATGTTTTTCCAAAGAGCAGCTTTCCCCTCTTTTAACAGAGCCAGGACCTGAAACCAATGCATAATAGTTTCCTGGCATGAGATGGCTTGCTCTCCTACGCCGGCCATCCACGACCAGCTAGAGGCTCTGTCTTAAAGCCGGCAAGGACTCCTCCTTCCTCTGCATAGCCACCTTACCTTCACTGCAGTGACCTCTCACCTGCTTGTTATCCTACCAAGATTAATTGTTACCAGCTTTGTCACCAGAGAAAAACCAAGAAGAGTCAGGCTGCAGCCTGCAGCAGAGATAACCCTGCAGCAAGGGATAAGAGCCTCTACAGTCTTCCCTGCAAAAGCTGCTCTCACTCATGAACGAAAGCTCGAAGCACGCTGTCATGACAAGGAAGCTCGCTCAATTTTGCTGTCATGGCTTCACAGAGAGGATTACCAGCAGCAGCAGCCTGCCTTTGGCTGGAGTTTCCAGAACAACACAGTGCCGTTTCCCTTAAAGAATTTATAATCTCCCCGATAGACATGCTTGACGCTTATTTGGTCCACCACCCACATTCAGACAGTGTTACTACTTTCTTATATGTTTACAAGGGAAGTCAAGGCAACCGGCTCTCTTCTCCAAGTGTATTTGGAAACCTCATTAATTTCCCCCTCTGCAATTTTTAATTTATTCTTTCAGAATCTTCATAGACAAAAATTATAAAGATATACTTGGCAGATACAAGATACGAATATTAAAAGTATCTAAGGAGGCAAAGCATAGTCAAGTCTGAAATAACAAGACAGGCTGTGGGGAGACCTACCTTGTCGTGCTCTTGAGGCTCTGGCTCAGGTGCTAGAAGAGATATTTGTAAACAGGTATTACTTTTTGGTTTGCGTGAAGGCCACTGAACTTTAAGGTGCACAACCCAACTTTGCCCATATGCTTGGCATCCAGGCACAAACATACATTTACCATGTCTTACCAGCCAGGGTCCCTTGGTTTGCTGTTGGAGTTGGCTTGCATTCAGAGGACTGCTACAGCGAACCTGGCTGGCCACAGTTTTCATAACCCGTGCGCCAAACCCAAGATGGCTGGGGCAGGTCCTCACAAGGGAACTGCGTTCCAATGAGAGAGGAAAAACGCACAAGATGGACTAACCTACCGCTAAAAAGTGCAACACTGGAAAAAGTGAAAAAGCAGAACAGTGCTAACTGATAGAGAAAGTTATACTGGGAAGAAGTAGTGATGGGTGTGGAAGAGACCCTTCCTCTGAAGAAAGCCCACTCCCAAGAATAGGCTGAGGTCTGCCTCATTATCTTCTTTTCTTTCATTTCCACATGGGTAGCATCTCATGACTTTTCCCCACTGCACTTCTACTGTAAGCATCATCTCACCACTAAAACACTAACTTCTTTTTTGCCCTGTGCCCCAAACTCCTCATACACTGCCAGTGCATAGAGGGGAAGGTAGAGAAAGTCACCTATGGTCACCCAGACTGATGCGCAGCCATGTTTCTGAGCTTGAAGAAACTATATTACTTCCTTTAAAGGCTATATCTGAGATAGCATGTGATCGATCTGAAAGCCTTGCCTTGGAAAGTACCTTGACTGGCACAAAAGGTTGTGGAGTCCCCAGGCTGATTCAGGTACAACACCGTTTCTTCATAATTATGCTGCTCTTCAAGATCAGCACTGAGAGAGTGAGAAGAAAGAAAGAAAAGATTTTTTTTTCTTTAGCCTTTTTAGAAATCAAACAGAATAACCCATTTTGAGGACAAGAAATCAAAGTACTTTGATACAGTGCTTACAAGAAAAAAGTGGAATCGGGAATTGATATGAGAGAGGGAAGATCGGTGCCAGATGCAGCAGCCTCTCAGTGACCCTTCCCTCAACTTCCCCCAGCCACCGCTTTTCCTTGGAGAGAACTGACCATGTCTGCAGGGCTCAAAGCGAGCCAGAGGGCCCGAGGACCTCATTCTGGGGTTATGGCCCTCCACCTACAGTGATTTCCCCAAGTGGCAATGGAACAAAGAGCCCCAAAAAATTTGAGTGCAGCATTTTTCAAACCTGCCACAGCTCCTAAAAAATTAATGACAACTCAGTTGCATTGTTTTGCATGTTATTTCTCACCTAAAGAAACATATAGGGGGAAAAAAAAGATATCAGAGGGTGCATAACGGTCCTTCTCCTGCTGGCTGAGCTCCCTCATCAAGCAAGGCTCACACAAACGTGGCAGCAGCGCTCCTAGGTCCGCCAGGAGGCTGAGGGAAGGCAGCGTGTCTCAGCCTTGTACCAACCACCAGGGACAACCCTGCAGGCAGCTGACATGGGGACAGGCTATTCAGTGGCACTGAACTGTGCACATTGCTATTTAGGCAACCAGAGATTTGAAGCCCACCTCCAGCAAGGTGTGCTGGTGGCAGAGACTTAGACCTGGGATGCTCCCCTGCCTCCACCTCAGCATGGGTTTCTAGCAAGCTCTGGAGTGAGCACACTGAAAAGAGGGCTCAGGGGCCAGGACAGGGCGGTGAAAGAGCACTGGGAAGAGTTACAGTGAGAACTGCACGAACATCTTTTAACATGAGTCTATGATCAACCTCAGGGAGCGTTTGCTTTTCTTCAAATCACCTAACATCACAATTTGGCTTTGACAGGCAGAGAGCGAAGACTAAGTCTTACTTGTTGCAAAGCAGAGGAGAAAGAAACTCAAGGCCAGTCTTACAGGAGTGCAATCAGAGGGAGGAACGACAGCTAAGAGCAGCAGCTCGCGCTAAGGCCGAAGGCTCCCGGCTGCCCCAGCAAGGAGGGACAGCACTTCGTTACAGGTGAGGATCCTACCTCTGGGCTTCCAGGAGGGGATTCGCAGTGATGAGCAGCCCAGACAAAAGGGGAAGCTCAAAGCCCGTCGTGCTTTGCTGCAAGCTTACTGCCTGGCCAACACACAGCCGGGCTGGCGCAGGCCAGGAGTGCCCAGCAGGGAGCAAGTCTGCCCACATTGGGGCCCCACAGCAAAGCCCTGTATCCAAAGGGTGCTGGAGGCAGAGACCGCCAGGGATGCAATAGCTCAGGACGCCACCTCCCCAAGCACACGCCACCACGGAGGAAAGCAGCTTTGCATTCGGCAAACCCACCCTCCCAGGCCTCACAAATAAGCTCTCGGGACATACTTTCTGCACAGACACCACCTACATCAGAGCAACACAACGCAGCGGAGAAGGCCGGCTAAGATCTTTTAGGAAGTTAAATAACAGCACAAGAACAACTTTATTCACACAGGCTGCCACCACCAGCCGTTACAGACTGCACCGTGGCTCCTATCCTGTGCGTAGGGCAGAGACCTTGCACTGCTAGTTTTGAGACTGCTGCCTAGTAATTTCTGCCCACAAAACTCAATTATTTTGTTTTTACCCTGGCATTCATTTAATCCACTTCCCCTAGTTATCACACAGTTAATATTTAACAGGTGACCTATTATAAACTCCGTATCACAAGTAGTAGAGTAAGATAACTAATCTTGCAGTAATGTATTACTAGGACAGCTTCCTTGTGGTGCATGACAGTTATACTGCCAGCTACAGCTCGGCATGTAACAGATAAAGTCTCCTTCTGCTTGGCTTGGAGAAGAAAACTGAGTTAATTTATAAGCTTACAGAGCACCTATAGTTTGACCAGATCTCTTCTGAAAAGTACAGGTTAAAAGCTAAACAAAACACCAGCCAACACCGGCAGGAACAAAAAATACAACTTACTCTGTGGTTAGTTGCAAGAGTTCATTGTTTGTGCCCAGATAGTATCTTAAGAATTTTTTTGTTTTTTAATTCACTCATTCTATTTCCCATTTTCACAGACATATATTCTTACGTCCAAGATAAAATATGTACATAAATATTTCCCTTCAAACCAGAGCTGTCCACTTTTTCTGTTCTTTGAGTAAAGACCCAGCAACACCATATAACCCTCCATGACAAGCAACAGACATGCCAGAAAAAGTTACGACCCCCTTGTATACAAACACTATTGTGTTTATAAGATTTTTGAGCAGTTTCAGATACTTGCTGAACTGATCAGCTCAGTGGTCCAATGGATTTTGCAAGCCCTACTCGTATTTCAGTGCTAAAATTCCTTTCAGCTGTTCTGCTCCTATTTCTTCTCCAGCACCTCAGCCAGGTCCCCATTCATGCAAGTCATGACTTGCTTGGCTTTTCTGGTACTTAGGTACCATTATCAAAAATATCAGTAAGATACTGGCTGAAATATGCATTTAAATATATAAGTAAATTAAAGATTTCTTAATCAAGGCCTTGCACGCAGCAGCCTCTGGTTCGGAGATGTTCCTCACCATGTCCTCTGCTGAGCTAGTCTGGACCACTACACAATAACATCTCATGGCAAAACTAAAGCTGCAGATGGGGGCAAGCGTTATAAGTTGCAGCTTGCAGATGGGGGCAAGCGCTCCTGTGGCCTAGGGCTGTGCTTGCTGCGCAAACACACGCACGAGCAAAATCCTCTTGTGCTGCCTGGTAGCTGGAAACCTCCAGCACCTGCTGATTATGCTTGGGCTTTGTTTCAGCAACAGTTCTCAAAAGCATATCTCTTCTACAAACACCAGCCTTGAGTACATGGAAAACAGGAAGGGGAAAAAATGCACGATGTGTGGGTGGCAAACGATCTTTAAAATCAAAGCGTTAGCTGTCAGAAAATGCACAGCGTTTTCCTGGCCACCCGCTGAACTGATGACATGAGTGGGCTGGAGGTCAGGCCACTCAACACTGCCAGGGATACTGGAGGAGGAGGAAACATGGACAAAACTTTCTGCTTTAGAGAAAGGTCATCTCAGCAAGCTTCGAGCAGCCTCTATGGTCACAGCAAGAAACACTAGAGCTATCTCCTGGGCACACAGCAGTGTCTGGCTCTCAACAGACCTCTGAAGTGGGGGCTCCAGACCCTATCTGAAATAGCAGCCACCACTCAACCCCCCAACCATCTGCAGACACAACAATGAAATATTATGAATTATAGCAAGGGAAGAGGACATCACCCAAGGATCCCTGACACACATTGCACAGACCACCTGCTTCAGACCATGCAGGGACCTCAGACTTCTTCCAGTATCCATCAGGAGACGCAGATGCTGCTGCAGCCTACGAGCTCGACTTATTTACCCAGTTGCACACTTACCTTTCAGGAATCAAGTAATCCTCCTCCGCGGCAGCTGCACACAAACACACAGAGGATTAGCATTTGAAGTGCTACCCACAACGCTGTTCTCCTACAGAAAACAAGGCTGGGTGACAAGGAGGTGTGACAAGGAGGGCCCTTCCTGGAGGGCCTGTGTGCAGCAGACTGCACACAAAGACACGCATGAAATAAGATTCCCAGCACAAACAGCAGACGCGGGTATGTTAGTATGGCACTATGTCATGTTTCCAGGAGGCAATCTCAGGCTTTCTAGGAGATCAATAATTGAGCAATATTGCCAGGGCATGCAGAAGATGACGTATGAACATAACTAGTTTCCTTTGTCCCATTAACAGACTTAGAAAAGGCAAGTATATTTGAAAAGAGCTTCAGTGACATGCTTTCTCTTTCGCTGTTACTCTTATCAAGCCCTGACTACACCAATAAGCACTGGCACTGTAAAGCCAACAAGATTTTAGCCAAGCCCTTCTTAGACATACATGCCTTTCCTTTTGACTTCAGCAAAAGTTGTCGCTAAATATCTGGGTATAATTAAGTCTGTATCTACAAAGAGACAACATTCAGCAGCTTAATAAGTCATCCAGAATATTCTGTTCTGTGACATCAATAAGTTTTTATTATGGGAAACTGAAGCTTTTGCATTTCTTGATGTTGGAACCCTTAAAGATGTTGCCCCCTGACTGTATTCAAAACATAAAGAGGGGATTAGCAGAGCAGTTTCTACTGATTTTATTGTGCCTTCCCTCCGCTGTATACTCCGAAGCCCTGGAATTTCACATTGAAGCAAAGCGATAAAGATCAGTTCACGGCCCAAGCAGCTGCTATTGTTTTACAGCCAGCTGTACATTGCTCACAACACATAGGTGCTGCAGTCAATAGGAAAGGGGATTTCTGCACTGTGGATGAAATCCAACGTGGAAAACCGTATTTCTTTTCCAGATTAATAACAAAAACAATCAGTTTCATTGAAACTGCTGGGTTCTTTATCATGTTTAAAGAAGATATTAGGAACAAGATAACAACGCACCGCTTCCGCTAGCGAGCGCATGCTCGGAGTCGTAGCCATTTAGATATGAATTAATTGTGTAATTTTGCATTTATTTTATGTAAAGCTCACTTAAGGGGAAAGACTAAAAATCTCTTACTTCTTTCATTTCCTCTGTGGACAGAAAGCACCGTGCTTTGGAAAACACTGAGATCAACTTTCGGGGGTCTCACAGGCTTCGCAGGGGCGGGACCGAGGGATTCAACTGAAGGAAGTGGTTTAATTTTTGGCAGCTTGCTACCTGGAGCCTCAGATGGTTTTCCTGCTCCGGATTCATAGAAGCGAGGCTCCGACTCTGCTACAAAGAACCACAAGGCAGTTATTACCGCTCATTTAAGTAAAAACCCATGTAGGATCATTAGTTGTTGTTCAGACCTTTCTAAACAATCTCTGCGTCCTGCCGAGCTCACGGTTACTCTACAGCAGGACTCTTACCATGTGCACAGTGGAAGAGCAAAGAGAGAAAGCAGACTTCATTGTCAGTTTTCCCAGATCTTAGAAAGTTAACCACGCTTGGGCCTCAACTCCCGTCAGCTCCCTGTCTCCTGATTATAAAATACTAGGCTAATTTTCTGTACCAATAAAACTTTAATCTGCTAGGATTTAGTGGCATAGCTGTTTTCAAGACGCAGTTCGAGCGAGGTAGCTTTCCAGGGTAAACAAAGGCTTAATCTTTTCAATGCTCTGTCACTCGGCGTGACGTCAGCAAAGGAAACTTTGCGGCATTAAAGTTTCCTAGCACGGCTCTTCTGAAAGAAATCTGCCAAAGAGAATATGCTCTCCAAGTTCAAACCTGACCTTTTGCAAAGCTGGGAGCAAACAGAGCCGGGCATTCAGACTTAAGCCACGTTAACTTGAACCAAATTGTCTTTGCAAAAGAGCAAAACCTTTGTATGTTCATGTGAAAGCGTGACATAGTCACATTCACCTCATATTTCCTGGTAACTGCAAAAGGCCAAAATAAACCAAAGCTAAAGACACTCCCCTCTCTTCTCACCCTTCATCCTACTCCCAGAATTTGGGCAATTTCTTTTAAGTTCCTCAAAGAGTTTTAAAAAAAGAGAGAGAGAGATGGAGAACCCTCACTTTATCCAAGCTTGGGGCGGGTTGGGACTGGTTTCTAATCTTCCAGCTCTCCAGGGAAGAAAGTGCCCAGTCCAATGGTCTAGCTTGGCCTGTTGTTTTGAGGGTCCCGACTCGTAACAATTTTTCGCCCCAACCCCTTGAGCTGTGTGTGCAGTTTCAGAGCTCCACCAGAAAGCAGAGCTTTTATGAGGCTGCTCCTTGCCCCACTTGCAGCCTTCCCGTACGGGGCCCAGCTGACCTGGAGTCACCTCTCAGAGCCAGGGTGCACGGCAGAGCACTGTGTCATATACATATGCATACATATATATATATTTATATGTTTGCATACTCTCTGTTAAGAATTTAGCTTACTATACCTTTCTGGTGTTGTGGGAGCTCTCTTGACGTTTGCATATCACAGCCTGGCTGGCAGAAGCTGGCTGCGGCAGTGCTTTCGGCAGCTAGTTGGTCAGAGCTCCTGTACCTCCTGGGTAGACGGGGCACAGGCGGAGCCTGGGAAGCAGCCAGCCCGCCGCCACCCGGAGCATCCTTCTGCCGGGCAGGGGAGTCCAGCGCTTGCTCACTTTGAGCCGTTCTCAATCTGCCGCCATCTGACGCAGCTGGAGCAGCCATCGCCCTCGGCTCCGGGCGAGGTTGCACGTAAACGTTTGCCCCCCGTTGGGTTGGGAGTGTTGCGTTGGCTTTCTCACTCTGGGAAAAAGCGTTTTCCCACATCTGTAGGGCATGGTGGAAGGAGTTTTGGGGTGGAGCAGACTCCAGATCTGTTTCGGCTGATTCTTGCTGGTCAGTGCAATAGTGTGGTTGAAGCTTTTGTGAACTGCTCTTGGAGGAGTTCAGCCCTTCCTCTGAGATGCTGCCTTTCTGCTCTTGATCCTTTCCCCTCGGATCCACATTACGAAGCCTGGCTCTTGGCTGCACCAAAGGTTTGCCCTGGACTAGTGCAGAGGGTTGAGGAGCAAGAGGGAAAAGTTCATTCTTGGCTTTTAATATTATCACTTCTCTGCTATTCCAGGACAGAGGACTGGAAGCATCCTTACTTTCAGAGCCCACTTTGTGCGTGGCTTCTGTGGGTGGCAGCACCAGCTTCTTGGGTGGCTGCACCAGCTGCTTAGAAAAGTTGGCGTCATTCTGAAATTTTGCACGGAGGGCTCTGAAGTCAGTCACGCCTTCCTAGGTGGGAGAAGAGCACAAAAACGCCTACGGTTAGGTGGCAGCAGAACGTCGTCCGGCCAGAGGGAAATAGGCCACAGACTCCACCCCAGCCCTCGAGGATATGCAGAGCCTGGTGAAAGTAAGAAGGTGGAAGAGCAGAATTAGCCCCCATCTGTTCAAAATGCAGCAGGTAACATTGGCAGAAGCCCTTCCCCTGCTCTCACAGGCAGCTTCAAAGTCATCGAACAGCAATAGCAGGAGCCAGCACGGTTTGGCACCCCGCAGGGTGCTAGGATTCCCCAAGAACAGCAGCAGCAGCTCAGTTTGGCCTCCTGCCACAAAAGGGTCCTACAAAGCTCTGCGGATGAAGGCAACGGAGCAGGGACGGGGAAACGCTCGGAGAGCAGAGCAGGGGAACGCCAGACCAGCAGCTGCGGGCCTCCTGTCGCTCCCCCGCGCAGAGCAGAGGGACAGCAAAAACATCTCCAGGTCTGGGCAGCCAGCACGGGCTAAGGCCACTTGTTTCATCTCCATACGTTCACCAGCACCCCAGCTCATCTACGATGTAGAACAAAAGCCCTGACACCACAGTTTAAAGGCGCACTTAAAAGAACATTTTGTTTCACCTCTTTTTCCCCAGGCATCTCACTGTCCCGCACTGAAAAAAGGAGACCACAATTTCTGCTGGCAATACCAGGGCTTAAGTTCAGCCCTGAACTGAACTAAGGAGAAAATATGAAGAAAAATTTATGAGCTACTTAAGTCCTTGAACTGCTCTATAACTTTTTATAAGCCATGATTACATTAGGTGCACTACTCTGGCAGCTTAGTTCAATGCAGAGAACTGTAAGGCTTCGCGAGAACCTGTCTAATGAGGAAATTGGAAAAAATTATCTAGGACAGAACTTCGTTATTCTGAAAAAAGCCCAAGCCTTAAGTGTTAAGGCAGAACAGATGAATAGCATACTGAGGTTTTATTGCATTTAATTGCACGATTTATTAAACACAGACAATTTCTCTTGAATAACCCCTTTCACTAACTTTATTACTTTCACAGGGCAGTGCATGATGTAAAGAAACAGCCCCTGGAGGAGAGGTTTGAATTGCTCTAATTATATTTCATATTAGTGGTCAGCAGCATGATGCAGGGTAAGCTGCCCAGACAGTCTAATCTAGAAGAGAGCCTATAGGGAACAGGAGTTATCAGAAGCATACGGAGGATGAATCAGAGTTAGGAAAAAAAAAAAAAAATCCCACGTATGCCAGAGCACTCCAGCGATGCCAGCCAGGAAATAAAGCAGAGCAAGGTGCCCTAATGCAATTGCAAAAAGCCTCTGCACACGCCGTAGCAGCGGTTGAGGAGTTCAGTATCGTTTACCTCTCCTTACTGATTTTTATTTGCGCTGCCTCGTTCCTCTAGCAAGGTGTTGGGACAGCAAACAGGGTTTTGGGCAACTTTGGGCAGAAACGGCCAGGGACAGCGGCTGGCGCTGCA